ACAAGGTCGAAGACAATCAGAGAGCAGTCCAACTTCTGAAATTTGAAACATGACTTGTTTAATGGAATAATACGTCTGATTTGTAAATTTTCTCTTGTTTCTCGGAAATAGGCTATTAAAAAATAATTTATCTACTCTATATGTAGAAAATGTTGTGAAAATATAAGAAGTGGCAATTCTTAATTCATACCTTTAGTTTTTTTGATAAAAATAATATGGACTCATCCAGTAGCCAGACTGAAGGTCATTTAAGCTGGGACTATTATAATATATATTATGTCCCAGATTTAAGTTACTGTACACGCGTGTGAACATGTAAAAAGAAAAGCAATTATAATTCAGTTTTAAGAAAACAAATTTTTCAAATACATTTTGTTGTACATTTTCAGCTTAATAATTAGAAAAAAAATAATAAATAAGGCACCGACTGTTTATCTTTCTTGCTACATTCATGCACGTTCTGATTTAACCAATATACATGTGTGAAAAAAATTCAACAGTTTGAAGGTAAACTAATTATAACTTAATCCAATCAAATTGCGTAAGATTCAATAACAATAACCGGTCCACATCATAATAAGTAATAGGGGTAAACTGGGTAGGGAGAACATGACACATATTTTTAGTTATTTTTTTTTGTAATAACGAATAACAATTTGTCAAAAAGAAGTTCTGTATAATTTCAGAAACATGTCGTTCTGTATTGGTATAGTTTCCGAATCTTTCATTTGCGTATTTAAGGCAATAGAAAGTTTGGGCTTCAAAAGTTAACATAATTATTGACTTTATACAGAAAATTCGCCCCTTTAAGGTTCAACATAACTTGTTGGCTAATATGGCCGTATATTCACCACAAATTTTACTCCATGCACAGACAAACCTGTGCACCTGGAAAAGTTTTAAGGCATGGCAAGAACTAGAGAATTGAATTTTAAATGCATTTTATGTTTCAGAAAAGTATAAAATTTTCTGGATTTTGAGGTTCCTTTTTTTCGTTCCCGTAGAAGGTGCCAAAATAAACTAAGTTTGGAAAAATGTTTGAGATGTTCCCCTATGTAAATAATTGTAATTATTTGTATTGACTAAATGTACAATAGATGGATAATAGATATCTGCACAAAAAAATAGTTGATTTAAAATGTGAAAATGAGTGGACAATATCAAATGAAACTCGGATGTTTGTTTATTTTATCACTTCTGCAGGCTTAAAAAAAGGAATCTCAAATTCCAGGTAAGTGTTCAATTTTCTGAAACATAAAATGCATTCAAATTTTATTCACCTAGTTCCTGCCATGCCTTAAAACTTTTGTAGGTGCACAGGTGTGTCTGTACTCAGAGTAAATTTTGTGGTGTAAACACGGTTATCCCATATGGTGCCAAAGGTTTTAATTTTCTTATCCAAAATCTTTCCCGAGTTAGTGTATCCTCCCTAGACCAAGCAGTGTTGTTGTCTATGATTGTAATGGTCAGTCGATTGAAATATGTCTTAAAGGAAGGTCTGGCTTGCATTCATAGTTGCTACGATGGCCATTCATTCGTTTATGAAATGGCTGTTCTGACTCGCCAACATACTGTTTACCACATTTACACTGTAGAAGATACAAAGCATTTGTAGTCTTACAATTAACATTGCAAAATATGGTGTATTCCGTACCAGTGGAGTGACTGTTAAAAGTCTGGGTATTCAGTATTTGTTTGCAAGTCAGACATCGTTGTTTCCGCATCCCTTGCAAGAGCCCACAGACGAAGAGCCTGCTTTAGAGGATACATCAGCTCCCACCAGCAAGTCTTTAAGGCTTTTGGGCCTACGGAAAGCCAGTACAGGTGGCTCGGGAAAGATCTTGGATAGTTTAGAATGTTTTTCGATTTCTTTCTAATTTTCGCGGATAAGGTGTGATAACTTGTCAAATTTGGGATGGTAAGTCAGCACAAACGGTACTCTTTTGTTGACCTTTTGTCTTTCTATTGTAAAAGTTGTACAACATATGAACAAACTATAAGTTTATTAATTCCTGTCCCTCAGAGTCGATTACTAAATATAGGCGTAGATCAAGGTACACACCAATCGTCAATTTATCTTTGGAATCCTTTATTTGAAGTTCAACAAGATAGATGGAATCAATTCAACAAACTGGATAATATACTGTGGGGACAAGAATATCGAAAGTATGCCTGTACGTCTGAGTTCTGAGCCAGCAAACATGTTAAAACCCGCCTCATTCTAAATGTGCGTGTCCCAAGTCAGGAGCCTATAATTGAGTGGTTGTCGTTTATTGCTGTTTCTCATATTTGTTTTTCGTTTATTGTTTTGTAGTGATGCCGTTACACCAGTGTCCCAGGTTAGTGAGCGCCTTCAAACATGTTTACCCCCGCCACATTTCTTTTGTGCTTAACTCAAGTTAGGAGCCTGTTGTTCAGTGGTTGCCGTTTGTTCATGTCTGTCATATTTGTTTTTCGTAAATTGTTTTGTATTCAATTCGGCCGTTAGTTTTCTATATTTTTCATGTTGGGGTCTTTTATAGCCGACTATACGGTAAGGTTTTTTTTTTCTCATTGTTGAAGGCCGTACGGTTGCCTATAATTGCTTACATCCACTCCATTTAAACTATGGTAGATAGTTGTCTCATTGGCAATCATACCATATATCCTTATTTTTATACTGTATTTAGTTAGATTTACACTTTTAATTTATGAAAGAGAGAGGGAAAGATACCAAAGGGACAATCAAATTCATAAGTCGGAAATAAACTGACAAAGTCAATTGAAGCAATAACATTTAGATTTCCTTCTATATTTTACATACAATCGACAATGGGTAAATTCTTCAAAATACTTGAAGATCGTATAGGCGGTAAATGCCGTTTTCTTTTTTGAAAAAGGAATTACTGATCCTTTCTATTAAAAAAATAGGGAAAAAAGAGCTTTCTATAGAGTAACAATCTTGAATTTGATCAAAGTAGACAGGACACTCACAAATTAGTAAAATAGTTCTGCTTATACACGTAATAGCTAATTTTTATAGATATTCGGAGAAACCAGATTATAATTTACTCTTTAGGCAAGGTTGGCCTGAATAGATGAATTTGGCTAATCTTTTTATGTCATTTTTGGAAATATAGCTGCTGACGTCTTCGGGTATTTTTACAGGCTTTCAAATTTTAAGTTTGAGTGTTCCTGGTGACGATAAATCCAGAAAAAGTGCTTCGGACGAACCAATTTTATAAAGTGTTAATTTCTTTTTTGAGAACCCCCGGTAGGCGTTTGTCTACATAGGACATAATTTGGCGCTCAAAACAAAAGAGTTAAAAGGCCAAATCAATAACGAAGTGGAAGAATATTGAAAACTAAAAATTCCCAAAAGTTGTCCTGAATCTTGTTGGGGCTATCTAAGCATAAGAATAGAAACAATCCAAAGGTTTCTCATGATTTTAATATTGTATGAACAGTCAGTTTACAGGAAATGACCACATCATTTAATTTTCACGTCAGCACAGAAGCGTTTACTTCTTGACTAGAACGTGAAATAAAAGTAGGAAAATAAAATATCATATCTTTTTTACCGGGTTTTAAATTTTGTGATATTTTAGTTCTAATTATACCAGCTCATAATTGCATTTCTCCTTTCATAACATTTTGTTCCCATGCCGTTGAAATATGCAACTCTTGTTGCCGCACCGTTAGAAAACACAGATAGGACAAAGAAAATTTTCTTCAAACCTACTATTTGTCTCGTATGGACTAGCAGGAATAGAATGAATTTACTAAAGACAAAAAAGAAAAAAAAAACTAAATGGATACAGATATGGACAGCAAAATTAACCAATGCATCGTTAAATTCTTCTTTGGTTAGCTAGGAGTGCTGATGAAAATCTATACTACTAAATGAAGAGACCGATATTCATTGAGCCGCAACTCCTCTGAAGCCATACATGTCGGAAATATTTGTGATACGACGTATAAATGTATAAATGTACTTCCTAAATTTGTCTTTGAAATAATCTGTTTTCCACAGAAAACGCCAATTTTTGAGAAAATATCTAAATTCGGAGACCGTTATCGATCCGTGTCTTATACGTATACGCTTTCGTGCATGCTTAGTCGACGTACTGCCCGCAAAATTTAACTTTATCTATAAATAATATAGGACAATGATGTAGATTAAAAATTACCATTCCAGGCCCTTTTGTTTTCCACATAATTAATATTACCAATAATTAAAAAGTTCCGGGTCGAATCCGATACCGATTTCAATAGTATCTGTCACAAAATTACCTGTTCCCTGTTACCTAATCTTACGTTCCGCCTCTGTTAGGCACACTACTGGGTAATAATCACACCTGAACTTCGTCATTATACAGGGAATAACTGTGCACCTTATAATCAGCGTGACTTTACCAAATGACAATACGAATTCTTAAAATCCAGGCTAAAGATAAGGCGTAGGTTCTTTAATTCAGTCACGGACCCGCGATGTCGCGGGTATGGTCTAGTTAAATACCCGGTATAATAGTCAAGCAAAACGTATTCATACAGAACGTAACCAAATATTTGTGTGCAAAAATGTATAATATGATTTCAGTGCAAATAAATTTTAAAATTAGCGACGTAATTAGTTTTTAAAGCTTTGCTATACAATAAAAGGGAAGTAGGCCGATGAGAATCTAATATCCGTTAAGGTTGAATACGACTGGCTATGTTAGGTTTTCATATTTTAAAATGTCATTTAAATGTTACCTATTTATCATAATAACTTCAGATAAACATTAAATTACGGAAAACATTTACGACTGTCTGAGTAATTGGTTTAAGTACAGTTCCATAAACTTTTGATTTATTATCATTTCAAGTTTGTTTACAGCATCATTATTCTTATTTTATTAAAAGTTATTTTTATACTTTATGTACCTGTTATGTAGGGAAAAAATGAATTAGAGCATTCTATTTGCTGAAAAATAATAAAGTCGTTCTGCTTTTTTAAATCTGTTTATTTTATAGGGACCTAGAATACATCCGGTATCCCATATAATATCAATCACGGACAACTGTTCAGAATGAAAAACTATCTCACATTTCTTAATATTTATCATTTGCTTGGATTTGGACTTGCTTTAAATATCTTCACCGTTACAACTGAAAAGAATAATGATTTGATGGCAAAACAACAACAGATGAATAATTCTATAGATACATTTACCAACTTTTCTGATGTTATGAAAGAGTTTGAAAGCCTGGAGAACTGGAGTAGCCTATGCAATATATCACAAACTGGTCACACTACCTTTAACATTGTATGTATCATTAAAGGTAATTCCAGTATAAAGTTATCAGAATTTAGAAATTTTACATATCGAGTTTCATCAAATATCAGATTTGACTTATTCGTCACTTGTGAAGATGGTATCATACACTTTCCCTGGCCGTTCAGAGCAGACAAACTAAATAAAATTTACATTAAAGACTGTAGAATTAAGGATTACAGAACTGATTACAAGAATCAATTCATAAACAGCATTCCCGACACTATAGAATATCTACAAATGGACAACGTTACAATTATTCTTAGAATTGGAGAATTATACGACTCGCTGCCAAAAGCAAACTCGCCTATAACAAGAGCTACAGAATGCGGACCGGAAAATGCTTTCTCCATAATTCAGAGGGGGACAAAGGCGAACTTTGAAGATATGCACAACTTTTTTTTGTTTGATTTAGGCACTGCAATCAGGCAGTATAATCATTATTTTAACATTCAGAAGAGAACCTGTTTGTACAACAACCTTGAGATTTTTGAAATAAGTGGAATGAAGGATTTAGAAAAAAATGATATCAATAAGATTGTTTATACAGACGTTGCAGAAAATCTTAAAATTTTGAATTTTTCTGGTAATGGAATGTTTGACACTATTTATAAACTACAAGGCTGGCGACTACGATTCCCAGTGATGGAATATATAGACTTTTCTAATAATAACATAAAAGTTCTTCCAATGATACGAGATTACGGAATGACCGTGAAAAAGACAAAATCAGTCGGAATAATAGACATTAGGCGTAATAATATAACTTCATTAACAAAAGGTATGATAGACTCGTTTTATAATCACGAGTTTGTTAAAGTCGACATAAGTGAAAATCCGTTTTTATGTGACTGTGGAATGATTGAAGTAATGGAATATCTATCTTCAAAGACTATGCCAACAACTTATAACTACCTAGGGTCGCTTAAGTGTGCAAATCCATCAAATGTCCGTGGACGTCAGCTGTTAAGTCTGTCTCTTACAGAACTAAACTGTAACAAAGACACTGTCATTAATTTTCCAATAGTCGTAATGAGCATCATAACAATAACATTCTTCATTATAACTTTGTTGACAATCTATTTCAGAAATCTGATCAAGGTAATTTTGTTTACTCGACTCAATATAAACTTTCCATGTGAATTCAGAAATGGCATAAACGAAGAGAAAGACTATGATGCATTTATTGCCTACAGCGAGAAAGATGTTGACTGGGTTATACGTACAGCTTTACCAAAGCTGGAGTCAGAGGACGCTGGGAAAGCGTGCAGACTCTGTCTTCATCATAGAGACTTTGTAATTGGTAATACCATAGCTGATAATATATTCAACAGTGTTGAAAACAGCTATCACACCATCTTACTTATATCTAGTGAGTTCTTGAAAAGTGAATGGTGCATGATGGAATTTCGAACGGCTTTGAGGAAAAGTTTAAACGATGAAAGTCGTCATTTAATAATTGTTTTGAAGGGTAATATAACTTTGGATAATGTTGATCCTGATTTGAAAAGTTGTCTCAATTCGCATACCTATCTTAGAATTGGAGATGTTTTATTTTGGGACAAACTGAAATATGCAATATCATTTAGACATAAGAATAGACAAAACAATTAACAAAAGGAACATTATGTCTGTGTACATATAACTTGCACGCGCTTGTATGTGAGTGTGGTTGGGTGTCTATTTTTAGGTTTTGATACAGTTTTAATCAATATATTTCTTCATTCGAATATAGCTAATGACTTTCTCATTAAATATTTATGGTCAAAGAATACCTTCTGAAATTGTTGTTTAGTGTTAATTCATTTTTACAACATTATGATAAGCCTAGAGATAAATATGTAAAATAATTTGTGATTAACTTCTTCAATAGGATTTATTATTATATGCTACACCTACAGCGATTCAATTCTACAGAAATGTTGTTTGATACCAAAAACAAATTGCAAATCCCATAGAAGCAGTAGACAATATTAAAAGAAGTTTAGCATATACAAAACAAAATAAATACATTAAAATGGAAAGAAATACCGAAAAGTACATTCATCATAAAATTCAAAACTAAAAATAAGTTGTTAATACTTGGTACTATATGGAACTTTTTTTAAATTGAACGGTTTGTTATATAAAAATAAGATGTGGTATGATTGCCAATGAGACAACAATCCACAAGAGATCAAATGACACAGACATTAACAACTATAGGTCACTGTACAGCCTTCAACAATGAGTAAAACCCATACCGCATAGTCAGCTATAAAAGGCCCCGAAATGACAAATGTAAAACAATTCAAACGAGAAAATTAACTGCCTGATTGATGTACAAAATAATGAACGAAAAACAAATATGATATACAGCAACAACGAGAACCATTGAATTACAGGCTTATGACTTGTGACAGGCACATATAGAATGTGGCGGGGTTAAACTAGTTTGTTGGCGCCAAACTCTCCTTCTAACATGGGACAGTGGTACAACGGCACAATACAAGAACAAACTATACAACAAAATAAACGAAAAACAAATATGAGAAAAGGCAATAAACGACAACCACTCAATTACAGGCTCTTAGCTTATGTTTACCAATTCCAACAAGTATGTCAAGTTTCAAGTAAATGAAGAATCCAAACAAACTCAAGTTATGGTACAATATGTCAAAAAATTACTTAAATCTGGCAATTCACGTCTTGTAACTTTTGAAAGACAGACTTGAAATTTATAAAAATCAACCAATAATAAAGTGAAGTTTGGAGGAAATCAATCTACAAGTACAGGAGTCAGCTCTGTTAACTTAGAACACTTTTAACTTTCTATACAGGTGCTGTAGGAATGTTGCTTCGTAAAAGTAAAGTTAACGATGGGAAATTAAAGTAATTTCTGTTGTCTTTAAGTTAATTGATTTTCCGTCCATCAGTGTCGATTTATACGTGTAAATCAAGGTATAAATCCATCGTTAATCTATCTATGGCATCTTTTATTTAAAGATCAACAGGAGAGATTGAATTAACATAGTCAACAAACTGGGAATTTCGGTGACAGATTATCATTCATTAAGCTGGCAGGTAGGTTCACGTGACACCACTATTCATTTAAGTCTGTATCGCATATATGGCAGGTGATGCAAGCAAAGCAGGAGACACTAAACCTTTCGACGCATCCGGTCTCGCTTCTTATGGAATTCATGAAATTCGATAATTGTTCGCCTCTTGATCTGCATTTTCAAAATATGTTTACGAGAAATGAACATCGGTATACTATATTTATTTTTGGCATATTTTTTCAATTTCTCTAGTGTTAACGTAAGGGGAGAAGAAAATCGAATGATTTGCCTGTAGTAAGTTCGCTTTACAGTATTAAATTGACATCAAAACACTAGAAACAATTATATTCAGGTTTTACATACAATCCATAATGGGTGATATATACAAAATACAAGTAGATCGTAAAGTATTGTGCCGTTTTCTTATTCGAAAAAGAAATTACGGATCCTTGCTATCTAATTGGAAAAGGAGCTTTCTATAAAGTTACAGTCACGAACGAATTTGATCCAAAAAAAAAGTAAAATCACAAAAATACTGAACTCCGAAGAAAATTCAATCGGAAAGTCCCTAATCACATGGCAAAATCAAATGACAAAACACATCAAACGAATGGACAACAACTGTCATATTCCTGACTTGGTACAGGCATTTTTAAATGTAGAAAATGGTGGGTTGACATATTTTTTCAATTTCTCTAGTGTTAACGTAAGGGGAGAAGAAAATCGAATGATTTGCCTGTAGTAAGTTCGCTTTACAGTATTAAATTGACATCAAAACACTAAACTACAGCGCCCAACCTCTCACTTGAACGACAGTCGCGTCAAATTTAATAATATTGATGAACAAAACAAACAACAAAAATCGGTAAAAATGTCACAAATAAAGGTAAAAAGTCTAATTCGGTAGGTCACATTCGTGAAAAGGGAACGGGATTGTAGTTACGACATAAGGAACATATCCGATATCATCTATATAACAGATATTCCATAACGGTGAACCAACTTGTGATGGCGTCCGTACAATTTACGAAGTGATGATTTCAGCTTCCCAAACTTCACTATTGGGAAGCCGAAATCATCTCTTTCGTCGTAAAGTTTTGTTTTCAACCGACCCTCATAGTCAATTTCTAGATATAAATCCTAATCAAGTGGCAAAATCAAGTGCTCAAACACATCAAACGAAGGGACAACAACTGTCATATTCCTGACTTGGTACAGGCATTTCCTTTGTAGAAAATGGTGGATTGAACCTGGTTTTATAGCGCTAAACCTCTCACTCAAGGCCGACAGGTCACTTACAAATTAGTAAAATAGTTTTGCTTGTAGTAGCTTATTTTGATGAATGTTGGAAGCTTATTATTTGTCATGCGATCAGAAAACCAGGTTATAATTTCTCCTTCGGTTAATTTGACATATATAGCATATTTGGGCAATCTTTTATGTTCTTTTAGGTCACCATATTTTTTTAAGTGTTTATTGCAGCTTTGAGTACTGTAAGTGCGCGTTTTGTCTAAATAAAACTTATCTGTTGCACTAAAACAAAACAGTTCAAAGGCCAAATCAAATACAAAATTGAAGAGTATTGAAAACCAAAAATTTCAAAAAATTGTCCTAAATCGTGTAATGTTTTTACAAGATTAGAAAAAATCAAAACAATGTCTTTGTAATGATAATAATACTTTGTGAACAGAAATTCTACAATAAATGACCCAATCATGACATTTCATGTTAGCACTGAAGAGTTGACTTCTTGGCTAGAACGGGAACGAAAAGTAAATTAATAAAATCATATTTCATTTTTACCAGGGAGGTCAGTTTTGTGATATTTTAGTGGTAATTATGACAACTGATAATTACATTTCTCCTTTCAGAATATTTTGCTGCCATACCGTTGAAATAGAAAAATCGACAGGACACACAAAAGTATAACTGAAATTGATAAAAAAGTGGTGTTAAAAAAACCGTTTTGTTTTTTTTTCTTGATTTTATTTTACCAATTTGTATTTAAGTTTTTTTGTACAGTTTTCTACAAACCTACTAATGTGTTTCTTATGGCATCGTAGGAAGAACACGAATTACTAAAAACCAAGGAAAAATTGAGACAAATCTGGGCAGCAACCTTCATTCATTGACATTACAGAAAATAAGTTACTTCATTGTTAAATTCATCTCAGGCTGGCTGGATGTGCAGATAACAAAATATCGTATAATTGTCTAGGAAAACATTCATACAGAACGTAACTAAAAATTTGCGTGCAATGATATATGATATGGCATTAGTGCAAATAAAGCTTCAATTTAGTGAAGAAATCAATTTTTGCTATGTTATGCAAGGGAAGTTGTCCGATAAGAATCTAGTATCCGTGAAGGTTTATTTAAACATTACCTATTTATCATACCTACTCCAGATAAAAATTAAATTGCGAAAAACATTTACGACTGCCTGTGTAATATGTCTTAGTAAATGAGAGTACACAGTTCCGTAAACGTTTCATTTGTCATTATCTGAAGTTTTTTTTACACCACCAGTATCCTTATTGTTGTTATGTAAATACTTTACGTATCTGTTATGTAGAAAACAAATGAATCAAATTAAGAGCATTCTATTTGCTGTAAAATTAGATACGTTGTGCTTTTTTAAGAACACGTTCGGTATCCCATGAAAAATCATTCAAGGAAACGTCTCAGAATGAAAAATAATCTCACATTTCTTGATATTTATCCTTTGCTTGGACTTGGACTTGCATTAGATATTTTAACCGTTACAACGGAAAAGAATAATGATTTGGTGGCACAATAACATCAGATGAATAATTCCATGGATTCATTTACCAATTTTTCTTATGTTACGAATGAATTTGAAAGTCTGGAGAACTGGGGCGTGTTTTTTTTTTCTGCCGTATTGAGCCAGAAGAGGTCCATTTCTGTTTTCTTTTTTTGCATCGGAAAGATCTTCGTGCTCTCTTGTACCTCTTCCTTTTGAATAGACTTAGGTGGTTTAGACGACAGATGCACATAAAAAACATGGCGTCGTTTAGTCTAAATTATATTAATAAATTTATGAATGCAGATATATTAAAATGTGCGCTGAATGATAAACGTGTTTATGGTATTGCAGCCTTAGAAGACATCCCTGTAGGGACGATAAGCTGGATAAATATAAGAACCACACGGACAATAACAGTAAGGAGACGACTATTTGTGATTCTTGAGTGGGGGAGGGGGCAGGAGGATTTTTTGCAGATTTATTATTCATTGTAATCTGTTGTTAATAATGCCTATTTTTCAGCTCTTACCAGACCACCATATTCATATTCAAAATCCTCCTGTCTCCCGCCCAACGCCAGAAAAATAAATATCAAATGATTTTCCCCTAACTTAACACAAACAAGTTTGAATTGATTTATTGTTGGTTGCTTATCTTTAACGTCCAGTGACAAATATTTCATGCATGTTCCGGAAAACAAAAGTTTTAAAGTCAGGTATATAATATAAAAAATAAGGAGATGTGGTATGATTGCCAATGAGGCAACTATGCACCGGAGTTCAAATGAAGTCGATGTAAGCAATTATAGGCAAAAGTACGGCCTTCAACAATGAGAAAAACCCATACCGTATAGTCGGCTACAAAAGGGCCCGATATGAAAAATGTGAAACAATTCAAACGAAAAACTAACGACCTAATTATAGAAAACAAAACAATTCACAAAAAAA